TAGGGAACAGAGATCTTTTTCGTACACTTGAAACATAAAATTAACATAAAATTTGGAAGACTCTTCCATGTTACATATTGAGTCCCTAGTCTAGTTCTTCAACTTGCAAAAATATGAGTTATTTGATTAATCTTTCTCGGGATCACAGTAAATATAACTCGTCAATCTCTCTCCACCAAATCTTTGATATTATTGATTATATCTTTATGTTTATGAATAAAATTCATCTTCCAAATAGCGCGTTCAATCACAGATATCGTACCAATACAATCTGTTTCGCACATCACTTGTTTGTAACCAAAATTCCAGCAAAAAGATAATCCTTCCACCAATATAGATGCTTCAGAATTTGAATATATTTTTATTAAATTATATTTTAAAATAAATAAAATACGTTTTTCCTTAAATTATATTACTTTGAATAAATTGTAGATTAAATTATTTGCTTACACAGTTTTATATACTTCAAAAAGAAAATTGTCATGAATGAAAGAGTTTTATGAGTTTTATCCTAAATTAAGGGGGAAACTTTACATACCTTTTTCTTAATTCTTAATTATTAATGCAAAGATTTTTCCACTTCTTAACCGATCAAAAATCATATTGAACACGATTTTTAAAGTATTACTTTGATAAAATTGTATGTTGTTAGTATATTTTAATTAAATTATGTTTTAAAATTAAATAAAATTTTGTCCTTAAATTACAATACACTAAAATCACAATAAACTATAAAGTAAATTAAGTGTTAGAGTTAATACAGTTTTACACATTCAATTAAAAAAAAAATTGTCACCGAACAATTCGAAAACTTTTATTCAAAATTAAGGGAAAAGAATTTACATACCATTTCTAAATTCTTAATTTCCATACATTATTATTGTTAAAAAAATTAAGTCAGGTTTAATATATATTTTAATGTTAACAAAAGTATCATGTATAACTATCAATAATTGAATAATAATATTGAAGCATTTTATATTGTTAATATATTCTAATTCAATTTTATTCTAAAATTTAAAAAATGCACGCTAGAAGGAGGGCTTGAACCTCCGACCTTGTGGTTAACAGCCACACGCTCTAACCAACTGAGCTATTCCAGCTGTTCATTATACATCTCAAATAACTGTATTTAATCTTAAATGCATGACCACTGGATTTTTAGGCAAGCATCCTTGTAAGTATCATCTTTATACCATTATCATCTTCTTCTCGCAACAGAAGAAATACTACTAGCCAAGAAAAAGACACCAAATTGTATAAGCAAAATATGCATTTAGAAAAATCCTTTCGTACTTGCAATTGGTGCCATGAATCCCTCTCCAGTTCACTCTTAGGAGTTTTAAGCAAATAATTGCATGAGAATTTGTATACGCATGCACCAAATGAAGGGTCAATTCATGAGTTCAATATTGAGGAAATTAATAACCCCTATAATATAACTAATGAAGAAAGTTTACACTCTTAGTACAACCTTTCATTTATTAAGTGTCTTATTAATCTTATTTTAAATTAAAAAATTGCTTGTTTTTATTAACTTAGTGATTAATTTCCAAGGAAATAAGATATTTCAAGCATATTGGTCAAAAATATAACAAGTGTTTTAAAATAAAAGTTTATGATAAATAAGTCCATTGATACATGTTCTAACTTAATTAGAGGTTTCGAATTCAAGTCTTCCATGTGTAGTTGCATAACATGGAAGTCGTACTCACACACTAGTATCCGTACATTTCATCCAGTTCATATAACATTACTACTACCAGCCTTCTGTATCACAACTTTGCTTCTAACATATTGCTCCCTTAAGTCTTCTGTTATGTTGGTGCGGATAGTGTTGTTGAGGAAACTAGAAAACCATTGAACAGAAAGTTTGGGAATGCGTTCAAGAGTGTGTCTGTCCACATAATAGAGCCCAAATCTTATGTCATAACCACTTGCCCATTCAAAATTGTCCATCAATGACCATATCATATATCCTCTTACATCTGCACCTTTCCTGCACATAACAAAATCAACCCTTGTTTGTCATCAAACAAAGTAATTCAAATGACCCTAAAACAAGGATGGTATTCATACATTAGTCCTCATCACTCACCTTATGGCTCTAAGTAGAGCTGCAAGGTAGGCTTTATGAAATTCTATTCGTTTGAAATCTTGTAGTAAATCATGTATTGTCACATTCGGTTTGAGTGGTGGAGAATATCCTGAAACAAATATGTTTAGCCATCAACAAGTTATTAGCTAGCTAACTTACTAATACCTTCACAAAAAAGAAATCTTCAGTAGTTGATGTTTCTTGTCCCTTAATGCAGGGTAAAGTGTTTGAGGTTATATTACTCAGTTGATCAAGCAACAACCCAGGAAAATAACAAATGGGTGAAAATGTGATCATCTAATGTTTTTAGTATTCACTATTCACACACCATTTTCTGTAATATACATAGGCATGTTATGGTATCTTATCATAATGTAGTCTACAATCTTCTCCATGCCCCTTGGAACCACAAAGAACCTTTCCGCTCCTGTCTGCTTATAACAAAACAAATTATATCACTCGCACATTATGTTCAATATATATTCTTTTGTCAAACATTTGAGTAAAGAAAATAACATAATGATTAGAGCAAGTGGAGTACATAAGGATATACCTGATCACCAATTGGAATTCCATCTCTTGTTCCAGTTGTTTCCACAAAACCTCTTATTGGACGATCTGTTCCGAGGGGACAAGAAGAGAGGGAGCAGTCCTTGGCATAGAGAGTTCCATAGTTATTGATGCCAATGAAGTCTAGGCTTCCTTTAATGAGACTCTTCTCCTTAAGAGAGAATCTTGGCAACTCACTCCCAAGGATAGAACGCATCTCAGCAGGGTAATCACCAAAAACCAAGGGATCTAAGCACCTTTAAAATAACAAAAATAAAAAATAAAAAATGAAAGGATCAGGTGCTGCCGATTCTTTTCATTAATTAATAAAATACATAATAGTTTGTGAGACAAAACTTAGGTACACTACCATATGTTTTATTAGTACCGTTCTTTAATTAAAATTAAAATTTTATCTTAATAATATATATTTATATTTAATATAGACCTCAGTAATATACATTCACATATATATTACCAAGGTAAAACTCTAATTATAACTAAAGAACGGTATAAATAGTACATATGGCATTGTACATGAGGTTTGTCCTTGTTTGTGTAGTTTAAGTGGTATTTGTTAGCACAACTTACCAGGCTACAACAAAAGCCAAGGCTCTTTTCACAGCTTCTCTATCACGTTCTTCATCTCTAAGAGGTTCATACATGAAGGTATGAGCAACAATGCCAATGATTCCACCTTGCTTTGCCTGGATTAGTATGAGTCGTTTGCAAATTAGACACTCATTTTGGCCTTTAATCCTTTCTCCCCTAAGCTAGAAAATGTGACAAAAAATACCTGAAAGTGCTTGCGGTACAATTGAACAGCCTTGGCATGTGACAATAACATGTTGTGCATGGCAATGAGAGGCTCAACATCAGAGTTACCAGCATGACAATTTCCAAAAGGTGGCGAACAGTGACCTGGGGGATATGTTCCCCTTATAAAAGCCATGTCTGCATACAGATTGGGCTCGTTGATGGTGACCCAGTACTTAACCCTGTCTCCAAAGCTCTTAAAACAAGTTTCAGCAAAATGAACAAAATCTCTCCTACAACAAAGAAAATATACAGTTATAAATGTTTCATTGTTCTCTTGGCTTAATTTTTTGGACTATCTATGATTATGCTGGAGAATTCATCAGCTTACTGGACAATTCATATAATAAGTGGCAAATTTCAAAATTCACTAGCGTTTATATCATAGCACTAAAAAATAAGAACAGTGTATTTACTGTATTAGGGGACTAAGCCAACCACCATATCTTTCTTCCAGTTCTCTTGGCAAATCATGATGGTGAATTGTCACAAATGGCTCAATCCCTGGATTAAGCAGATCATGTTCAGATCTTGGTACAGCTTAGAACAAAGTCATGCCATTATAAATATAAGTATTAAACCATTTAATAAGTTCTGAGAAACAGCTATAATTTTTATCTTTAGGAGAGTTAGTACTTTTATCTTGAAACATACCAAGACTATAGTATCAATCTGAAGTCAAAACTAAGTAGCATTCCTATGGAATATAAAGAACCATATGGAGAATGTTAATTTACCTCTAAGCAGCAGATTGTCTATGATCTTGTTGTAGAACGTAACCCCACTTGGATTTATGTCACCATATATTCCTCCTGTTACAGCTCATGAAGATCAAATTGAATAGAAGATCTAAAAGATGAGACTATGGGAACTAGTTAAGTGTATTATTATTACTTACTAGGTAGAATCCTCGCCCATGAAATAGAAAATCTATATACATTTATTCCAAGAGAGGAAATCAACTTGATGTCTTCCTGCCAAGTACGAAGGGCAATTATTAAGGTTTAAGAAAGGCAAAGGTACTAGAGTAAAAGTATTAGAATCTGTTTAGATGCATGTTTATTAGAATTTTTTAGAGGTTTTTACTCAATAAAAAGCTTTTCAAAAGTACTTTTAAATTTATATCCAAAATGACTCTAAAACAAATATGAAGTTGTCATGTACCAAATAGCGATGATAATGATCATCAGCTACATCACCATTCTCATCATTGTTTATATTTCCTGAAAATTGATCAAATTGCATAGTGATCAATGGCCATTCATGTCCATCATTATCATTCTATAACTGTAAGCACAACAAGGAATATCATATATCAAGATAGACTGAAATGGAATCAACCGACACCATTTACCTGGTATATGACTAAAAACATCCCAGTTGCTTAAACCCTTGCCATCTTCAAGAGTTGCCCCCTCAATCTTTTCTTTTTTTTTTTTGAGAAAAAGAGAAAAAGAAAAATACCATTATAAAAACAACAATTTTAAATATTTCAGAACCAAAAAAAGAAAGGAAAAACAAAAACAACCTGTGCAAGTAACTCCCCAACAAACTTTATACATTTCAGGAAATGTCAAAGTTTAGACTTTACAGTAACTGCAACATTTTTGGAAGCAGGGAATTAGGGAAAGCAAAAGTAAACATGTACCTGGTATGAGGAAGTGCTTGCTCCGAAAATGAAACTTTTGGGGAATTGAGATATGCTGATTTCATCTTCAATTTCAAGAGAACTTTGGACATGAAAATGAAAGCAGCAAAGTAGTAGTATGACTACAAGATGCAGATGCTTTTCTAACATTATCTTTTTGATTGGCAGTTGAGATGATATTTCTGATAGTTCAGCACTTGAGATATGATTGGCAGAAGTACCGTGTGCTTAAATAGAAAAAAAAAATTATTATTTGGGTAGAAAGAAATTAAAATAACATAAGTAAACAAAAATGTTTGATGTGTTTTTTAAAATCTAAAACTGAATAATTAAATAAACATTATAAATATATTAGAAATAAATTTAAAACTACGTATTCTTATATGATAGCGTGTCATCAACAAAATAGGTATTAGGAGCTTTACTCGTACCAGAAGAAAAGTGACATTCTGTGAATATTTCTTTTAAAATATAAAATAAACAAATTTTTAAATAAGATAATAATAATTTTATTTAATGAAAGAAATTAATTATTTAATGGTGATTATTATAAAAAAAGGGAATGCACAGTTATTAAAAGAGAGGTTCTCGTTAGAATCACAAATAAGGTTAAAATAAGATATTTTATATAAATATAGATAAATTAATTGAAAGATAAATGAGACTTAAGAAAATGTAAATAAATAGTAATATTCCTTTTATATATTGTTATAGGTAATCAATTATTGTTTATATGTTAAATATGAACTACTATTATATGTAAGAATATTTTATGTCTAATATTTTTATGAAAGGAGTTTTAGATTTTTTTTTAATTTTTTTATTTAATTCAATTTTTTTATTTATCATAATATTCATGAATTAAATTTAATATTTAAAAATATATTATCATTAATTAAAATAATTTATGTTATAATATAAATTATTTATCTTAAATTAAAAATATAATATATCTTTAAAAATGTTTATTTATACAAATTTTAAATATAATTTATATATTTAAATATATTTTTTATTTGTATATATAATTTATAATAAAATTTAATTATATATAATAAATACTTAACATGTGAAATGTACATATTAAAATAATAATTAATCACAAAATAATTGATATAACAATAAACAATAAAATGATCAAGAATATATCTTATAATCAACCTAAAGATCAAATTTTGTAGAGATATTTTAATGGTTTTGCTAACCAATATACTTAGGGCATTGGTTAAAAACTTAATATGTAAATTCTTTTTTATTGAAACTAAATAAAGTAGTATCAAAGAATGTGTAAATAAATTTTTAAATATTTTTTTTTTACTTTTAATTCCTTAACTAATGTCTTTAACATCTTTTATATTTTAAAGTATTAACTCTTAACAAATACAGTAATAAGTTAAAAAAGAAAATATTAATAATAATCGAGTCTTTTCTTATAAATTAGGTAACAGCTAAGTTTTAATTCCATATCAAATACCTCAATTCCTCAATAAGTAGATATATGCTTAGTAGTTCTATATAATGAATCCTTTGCAACTATTCAAGGCATGTTTAACTTGAGACTTGATCATTAAATGGAGTTCAAATTCAAGCTTTAATCATTTAACTTTTGTACCTGTATAAGGATACACCAATGATCTTCTTGTATTCTGAAGGCCGAACGAGTGTTCTGAACGAGTATTCCGATCCAACGTGAGTAGACGGGTTTGTACCTGCAAAAGGCACTCCGATGCTCAAGTCAGCACAAGCACGGAAATCTAGAGTAATTAATGAACAGTGACGTTACCTTTTGACCTGAGCTATTTATACTGACAATCGTGGGCCCTGGACCTTATGGGCCCTGTAACATACTTACCGTATTAGGTAATACTTCTTAACCAGCTAATTAACCCTTAATCATTTATTAAAGATAATTAATAAAGATAAGCCGATCCAGGTGACCGATTGGCAATCGGCCACCTGGTTTAGCCATTCGGCGGCCGATAAGAGGGTGGTTGAACGCCCCTACCCGTACACTGCCCCCCAGCCTTGAAGAAAGGCGGAACTTTCTTTAAGGGTAAATTGGAGATGGCGGTTAGGGTAAGATGAAGAGGCGTGCGTTTATAACCGTTGGATCTCGGAAATCCAACGGTTACAATTTTTCAACACTTAAAATTTTCCTGCTTCTCTTCAATTCTATAAATAGGTTAGATGGTAGGGCCATTCTCACGTATTATTCTAATCCGACTTGTGCTAGTCCGAGTCCTAACATTTTTGCTTCCAAGATGTTGCTCGCCCAAGTTTTCTCTTTTGTTGGTGTGGCCAGTGTTGTTGAGGAAACTAGAAAACCATTGAACAGAAAGTTTTGGAATTCGTTCAAGGGTGTGTCTATCAAGGAATAACGTTTCCTGCGAATTTTTATGAAAAATTCGCCAGAAAAATCGTATGTAATAAGAGAAATTCTAGTAATATATATGAACAATACAAATATTCTATCAAATAAATAATGTGAAGAATATGATTAAAGATAAAATATAATTATAAAAAATAGACTAACTATGAAATATGAATTTGAAAAATATAATTTTCTTCATGAAAATTCTTCTAACTTTGTCTTTGAAGATTGCAACATCAATGCAAGAATGATTATCATACTGTAACATGCTATAAAAATTAACATAAAACTATAAATTATAATATAAAAACAATAAAGAGAAATGAGAGAAAGTACATAGAGAACAATATAAAAGAAAAAATAGTATCTTATATGATTTTCAACATATAATCTATTTATAAACATAAATGATTACGAATAAAATAAAGATAATAATATTAAGGTGAAACATAAACAGTAAAAATATACGATCCTAAACTCTAAAAATATACAACAATCATTAAATATTCGTAAATAAAATTTCTAACGATTATCATAAACAAATTAAGAGAAACAATGAATGGACCAGTTTCATCATCGATGGAGTCGAGAACACGTTAATTGAAATTCACGGGATAGTTCAAATAAAATTGAAACCAACATTCCTAACATTTTTGCTTCCAAGATGTTGCTCGCCCAAGTTTTCTCTTTTGTTGGTGTGGCCAGTGTTGTTGAGGAAACTAGAAAACCATTGAACAGAAAGTTTTGGAATTCGTTCAAGGGTGTGTCTATCAGAAATTTCAGGAAACTTTTCTACGAATTTTTTTCGCAAGAAATTTCAGGAAACTTTCCTACGAATTTTTTCGCAAGAAATTTTGTAGGAAAATTTCCTGCGAATTTTAAAATTTGTAAAAAAATATTATACACGAAGGTATTCCCTGCAGATAAAAATTTGCAGGAAAATTTGCAGGAATAACGTTTCCTGCGAATTTTTATGAAAAATTCGCCAGAAAAATCGTATGTAATAAGAGAAATTCTAGTAATATATATGAACAATACAAATATTCTATCAAATAAATAATGTGAAGAATATGATTAAAGATAAAATATAATTATAAAAAATAGACTAACTATGAAATATGAATTTGAAAAATATAATTTTCTTCATGAAAATTCTTCTAACTTTGTCTTTGAAGATTGCAACATCAATGCAAGAATGATTATCATACTGTAACATGCTATAAAAATTAACATAAAACTATAAATTATAATATAAAAACAATAAAGAGAAATGAGAGAAAGTACATAGAGAACAATATAAAAGAAAAAATAGTATCTTATATGATTTTCAACATATAATCTATTTATAAACATAAATGATTACGAATAAAATAAAGATAATAATATTAAGGTGAAACATAAACAGTAAAAATATACGATCCTAAACTCTAAAAATATACAACAATCATTAAATATTCGTAAATAAAATTTCTAACGATTATCATAAACAAATTAAGAGAAACAATGAATGGACCAGTTTCATCATCGATGGAGTCGAGAACACGTTAATTGAAATTCACGGGATAGTTCAAATAAAATTGAAACCAACATTCCTAACATTTTTGCTTCCAAGATGTTGCTCGCCCAAGTTTTCTCTTTTGTTGGTGTGGCCAGTGTTGTTGAGGAAACTAGAAAACCATTGAACAGAAAGTTTTGGAATTCGTTCAAGGGTGTGTCTATCAACATAATATAGCCCAAATCTCGTCTCATAGCCATGTGTCCATTCTGCCGAGTTAGATGCCGTTCGGCGAGACAATGATACTCTGTGCTTGGATCTTCAAAAAATGACTAATGAAGGACATCGCCGAGTGGAAGAAGCTGAGGCTGCGTATAATGCCCTCAAAGAGCAAGCTAAAGAGAAGATAATTTCTCAACATGAAGCGGGGTTCAAACAGGCCGTTTGGCAGGCTAAGCACTTCGGCCAATTTGAAGACGGCTTTGTGTTTGACATGACTCAAGATTTCTATCAAGGGTCCCTCATGTCTTTTGCTGATATGCCTGAGGAAGGTGAGTCTGACGATGCCGACCCAAGTGTTGCCCTCCAAGCAGAGGATGATATCCTGTCTCATAGCCATGTGTCCATTCAAAATTATCCAACAATGACCATATCATATATCCTCTTACATCCGCACCTTTTCTGCACATATCAAAATTACTCCTTATCATAAAAAGTAATTCAAAATAACCCTTAAAACAATGATGTTATTCATATATTAGTGAGTCATCATCACTCACCGTATGGCCCTTAGAAGAGCTGCAAGGTAGGCTTTATGGTAATCTATTCGTTTGAAATCTTGTAGTAAATCATGCATTGTCACATCAGCTTTGAGAGGGGAAGAATATCCTGAAACAATTTTTATGTACCAATCCAAAATTTGTTAAGCGACCTACCATAGTTATTGTTCTTGGTCTCTTAGTTTAAGATAAAATGCTCAATATTAATTGATCAATAGGTTAAAACAAAAGGAAGAAAATGAAATTTTGGAACTGCTTTCTTGTTTTCATTTCTCATTTTTTATAACTGATTGTAAAAAAATTACTAATCCCATTTCTTTGTTTATGTTTTCAAAGTTGTTATCATTCCTATACAAAATGTTATGTGATTATGAGTCTGTTTGTACACAAATTTAAAAACGATTTTAAAAGTTTTTTTACTGAAAAATACTCGTGAGAAATTCTCAAAAGTATCGATTCTTACTTACCATTTTCTGTAATATAAACGGGCATATTATGGTATCTTATCTTAATGTAGTCTACAATCTTCTCCATTCCCTTTGGAACCACAAAGAGCTCTAGCATTCCTGTCTGCTTAAAACAAAACAAATTGTATCATAGATTATGTTTAATACCTATTCCTTTGTCAAACATTTGAGGAAGCAACATAATGAAATAAGGGCACCTGATCACCAATTGGAATGCCATCTCTTGTTCCTGTTGTTTCTACAAAACCACTTATTGGATGATCTGCTCCAAAAGGACAAGCAGAGAGGGAACAGTCTTTGGCATAGAGAGTTCCATAGTGATTGATGCCAATGAAGTCTAGGCTTCCTTTTATGAGATTATTCTCCCTAAGAGAGAATCTTGGTAGCTGGCTCCCAAGAATAGAATGCATCTCAGCAGGGTATTCACCAAAAACCAAGGGATCTATGACCCTTCTTGTCACCAAAAAAGCAGGAAAAGTTTTTTAAATAAAAAAAATAAAAGGATCATGTGCTGCTAACTATTTTCATTAATAATGTACACAATAGTTTATTTTGGCATGATTGTCATGAGAAAAACTCTTCTCAATTTTTTTCCTTTGATTTTGTTGCAGGTATTAAATGGTACTTCTTAACAACTTACCATGGTAAGCCAAAAGCCAAGGTCCTATTCACAGCTTGTCTATCACATTCTTCATCTCTAAGTGGTTCATACATGAAGGCATGTGCAACAATGCCAATACTTCCACCTTGTTTTGCCTGGATTAGCATGAGTGGTTTACTAATTAAACTCTCATCTTGGCTTTCAATCGTCTTTCCCCTAAACTAGAAAATGTGACAAAAAATGATAGTTTAGGACATCTTTTGTTACCTGAAAGTGCTTGCGGTATAATTTAACAGCCTTGGCATGTGATAGTAACATATTGTGCATGGCAATGAGAGGCTCAACATCAGAGTTACCAGTATAACAATTTCCAAAAGGTGGAGAACAGTGACCAGGAGGGTGTATTCCTCTCATATAGGCTGACTCTACAACCAGATTTGGCTCGTTGATGGTAGTCCAGTACTTAACCCTGTCTCCAAAGTTCTTAAAACAAATTTCAGCAAAATGAACAAAATCTCTCCTGCAACAAAGGAAATATACATTTACAGAAGTTTCACTGTTCTCTTGGCTTAAACTTGTGGACTACGATTGTGCAAGGGGATTCATCAGCTTACAGGACAATTCATTGAAAAATCGTTAAATCCAAATCCCTTGGCATTATATATTATAAGTAAACAAAAAAGGGAGCTGTAGATTTACTGTATCAAGGGACTAATCCAACCACCATATCTTTCTTCCAGTTCATGTGGCAAGTCAGAATGATGTATTGTCACAAATGGCTCAATCCCTGGATTAGGCACACCGTGTTTGGTATTAGGTACATCTTATCCCAATGTTTTAATAAATATAAATAGATAAATCTTACTAAACGCTCTCAAATACTTCCTTTCCATCGTACTCTCTCTTATTATGTGAAATTCTGGTCTCACTTAATACGTAGATTTCCTAGTTAATGGGTGGAATTCTCATCCTAAGTGGAGTCACATAATTTCAACAGTGATATGTAGGTTCCATTTCTATTCAATGGTCCCATTTCTAAATTAGTAGGACCTGCATGAATTTTAACCATTAAGAAAGTATTATAGAAACTATTAACTAGACACTAACACTCCTCTTATAATATTAAACCATTTGAGATTTGGCTTATGCTTAATACTTTAGTTTTTACTTATTGTATAGTTATTTCTTATGTCTTTAGTTTTACATATACTAAGACCGAATATTATCAATCTCAAGTCAAGACCAAATTTTGCCAAAATTTTAATAATCATAGAAATTTTTTTCCATTGTAAAAATTTGCAGAAAATATTGTAAGAATTTTATTTTGTTTCTTGCAGATTTTCTTGCAAAAATAAATTCGCAAGTAATGTTTACTAAAATGTAGAAAAATTTTGCAGGTAATTTTTCCTGCAAATTTTAATCCGCAGGAAAAATAAAAAAAAATATTTAAATTTATAAGTTTAATATTTAAAAAAACTTCAAGTCCCACATCAATTGAAAATAAAACAATTAAAGAGTATATAAGTTGGGGCAACACTTACCTTACAAGTTGATTTATATAGTTGAGTGTTAGGCTTATAATCTACCATCTTAGAATTTAAAAGATTATGTATCACATGTTGGAGGCATGGAAATAAATGTTTTTGGATGAATTCATTGTGAGCATTTGAAAGTTGAAAAATTATTGATAGAATTTATAGTAATTTCTTTAATTTTCTTCATAAAAAGTATTCCTGCAAAATTTCTTGTGAAAAAAGTCGCAGGTGCAGATTTTTTGCAATTTTTTTTTGCAGGAAACTTTCCTACGAATTTTTTTCGCAAGAAATTTCAGGAAACTTTTCTACGAATTTTTTTCGCAAGAAATTTCAGGAAACTTTCCTACGAATTTTTTCGCAAGAAATTTTGTAGGAAAATTTCCTGCGAATTTTAAAATTTGTAAAAAAATATTATACACGAAGGTATTCCCTGCAGATAAAAATTTGCAGGAAAATTTGCAGGAATAACGTTTCCTGCGAATTTTTATGAAAAATTCGCCAGAAAAATCGTATGTAATAAGAGAAATTCTAGTAATATATATGAACAATACAAATATTCTATCAAATAAATAATGTGAAGAATATGATTAAAGATAAAATATAATTATAAAAAATAGACTAACTATGAAATATGAATTTGAAAAATATAATTTTCTTCATGAAAATTCTTCTAACTTTGTCTTTGAAGATTGCAACATCAATGCAAGAATGATTATCATACTGTAACATGCTATAAAAATTAACATAAAACTATAAATTATAATATAAAAACAATAAAGAGAAATGAGAGAAAGTACATAGAGAACAATATAAAAGAAAAAATAGTATCTTATATGATTTTCAACATATAATCTATTTATAAACATAAATGATTACGAATAAAATAAAGATAATAATATTAAGGTGAAACATAAACAGTAAAAATATACGATCCTAAACTCTAAAAATATACAACAATCATTAAATATTCGTAAATAAAATTTCTAACGATTATCATAAACAAATTAAGAGAAACAATGAATGGACCAGTTTCATCATCGATGGAGTCGAGAACACGTTAATTGAAATTCACGGGATAGTTCAAATAAAATTGAAACCAACATTCCTAACATTTTTGCTTCCAAGATGTTGCTCGCCCAAGTTTTCTCTTTTGTTGGTGTGGCCAGTGTTGTTGAGGAAACTAGAAAACCATTGAACAGAAAGTTTTGGAATTCGTTCAAGGGTGTGTCTATCAACATAATATAGCCCAAATCTCGTCTCATAGCCATGTGTCCATTCAAAATTATCCAACAATGACCATATCATATATCCTCTTACATCCGCACCTTTTCTGCACATATCAAAATTACTCCTTATCATAAAAAGTAATTCAAAATAACCCTTAAAACAATGATGTTATTCATATATTAGTGAGTCATCATCACTCACCGTATGGCCCTTAGAAGAGCTGCAAGGTAGGCTTTATGGTAATCTATTCGTTTGAAATCTTGTAGTAAATCATGCATTGTCACATCAGCTTTGAGAGGGGAAGAATATCCTGAAACAATTTTTATGTACCAATCCAAAATTTGTTAAGCGACCTACCATAGTTATTGTTCTTGGTCTCTTAGTTTAAGATAAAATGCTCAATATTAATTGATCAATAGGTTAAAACAAAAGGAAGAAAATGAAATTTTGGAACTGCTTTCTTGTTTTCATTTCTCATTTTTTATAACTGATTGTAAAAAAATTACTAATCGATTAGCTTCAATACCCCTCGCCGAAAGCATGAAGCCAAGGGATTTGCCCCCGGACACCCCAAACACGCACTTCTCCGAATTGAGCCTCATATCATACTTGGGCAACTGTTGGAACACTTCCAAAAGATCCGTTACATGCCGATCAATGTTTCTGGATTTTACGACCATATCATCCACGTACACCTCCATATTCTTGCCTATTTGGCGTTGAAAAACCTTTTTCATCAATCTTTGATACGTTGCCCCTGCATTTTTCAACCCAAACGGCATTACCTGATAGTAGTAATTGGCCGAATCGGTTATGAAGGCCGTCTTTTCCTCGTCACGGGGATGCATGGGAATTTGGTTATACCCCGAGTAAGCATCAAGGAAAGATAAAACTCCATGATCCGATGCACCATCAACTAACCGGTCTATATTCGGGAGCGGGTAGGCATCCTTAGGGCATGCCTTGTTGAGGCTAGTATAATCAGTACGCTTTCTCCATTTCCCATTTGACTTTTTCACCAACACCATATTCGCCAACCAAGTGGTATAATGAACCTCCCGAATGAAACCAGCATCGAGCAATTTGGCAACCTCCGTTTCCACTGCAAACTTCCTTTTCGTTCCCATTTTTCGTTTTCGTTGTGCAATTGGTCTTGCTTCAGTACAAACTGATAATTTATGACACATGACCTCAGGATCCACACCAGGCATATCCGAAGGGATCCACGCAAAAAGATCTTTATTTTTCAATATAACCTTGCATAGGGCAGAACGACTCTCCTCGGTCATATCGGCACTGATGTATGTAACCTGAATAGGATGTACACCGATCTGAAATTGTTCTTTAGATTCTACTTGCTCCACCTGTTCCTCATTGTTCATTCTTGGATCAAGATCCCAAACAGGTTCCTCCCCGAGTGCCGAAGTGTTAACAGCATGAACCCTTTTTGATTTTGATTTTTTCTCTTCCAACGGCGCGATCCGTAAGCTAGCATAATAACACTCCTTAGCAGCCTTTTGATCGGCATGAATCGTAATTATTGTCCCTTGATCAGATGGAAACTTCATCGCTAAATGTGGTGTTGAAACGATAGCCCCTAATGCATTCAAGGACGGCCTGCCAAGGAGGATATTATATGAAGTGCTAGCTTCCACCACGATATACTTCACTTGAACCTCTCTACTCTGTTGTTCGTCAAAACAAAAACGTGTAAAGAGTTTAATATAACCTCGGGTACTGACCCTTTCTCCTGCAAAACCGACCAACGGGGCATCATAAGGGAGCAATTCTTTTTCCGAAATGCCCAACTGCTTGAAAGTATTCCAATATAATATGTCTGCCGAACTACCCTAATCAACCAATGTTTTATTGACAATGCAATTGTGAATTTCCACGCTAATAACCATCGGGTCATCTTGCTCTGGATCAATACCCTTGAAATCAGCATCGGTGAAGGTTATTGTTGGTAACCTCCGTGAAGACTGTTTATGAACAACGTTAACCGATCGAATTGCTCTAAGATGCCTCTTTTGAGCCGATGAAGTTGAGCCTCCACCAGCAAACCCTCCTGCAATAGTATTGATCACCCTCCTATGTGATGGTGTCGAGGTATCCTTTCTTTCTCGCGACCTACTTCTTTCTCGTGACTCGCTTCTTTCACGAGGGGCTCTATCGGAACGGTCTTGTTTGCGCCGATCTTGATACCTGGGTTGATATGAGAGAGTTTGCGACGACCCTGTCCGATCCACAAAATTATGCAACTTGCCTTGCTTAATCAAATCTTCAATTCTATCTCTAAGGGCTGCACATTCATCGGTAGAATGTCCACGATTGCGATGATACCGACAAGATTTACTAGTATCCGCACGTGGTGGTGTAGCTGCTCTTTTTGGAATTGTCAATACTTCTGAAGCTAAAGCTTGTTCAAGTACCTCCGAAAGGCTAGTGTTGAGGGGAGTATATTGATTGTACTTCGGACCCCGACTAGGCCGATCCCGAAGAGATATCTCCTTTCCTCTCCCCCTGTATGACTGTTCTGCTTGCTTTTCTACCTTGCTCGACGACTCAGCTCGGGCCTGATTACGATATTCCGCCAACTCTTCCATCTGCATATACTTATCAGCCCTTCTCCTTAAATCACTCATGTCCAAAGGAGGCTTTTTACAAATACTATTGACAAACGGCCCCGGTTTTAAGGCTGTTGTGAGGTGATGCAATGCTACAGCGGGGTTAAGATCTCGAATTTCCAAAGTAGCCTTGTTAAACCGATCCATAAATGCCCGCAAAGATTCCTTCTTGTCCTGCCTAATACCAACCAAAGATAATGACGTTAGATTATGAGGACGACTTGTTGCAAATTGAATAGCGAATTGTGAAGACAATGTGTTGAACGAGTCGATTGAATTGGGTGGAAGATGAGTGAACCAACTGAGGGCTCTGCCTTTGAGAGATGTAGGAAAGATCCTACACAACGCAGCATCATCCATTGTGCTCAGAGTTACCTGCGTCAGAAAAACATCCAAATGCTCATCAGGATCTGTCGTACCATCGTATTTATCAATAGGTAAAGCTTTCCAATTATCCATTAGGGGGAGTTGCATAATGAAGGGAGTAAAAGGGTGTCGATGCGATCCAACAATCATCATATCTGCAGGACGACCCACAGTTGGTAAAGCCGAAGGGAACTTCTCAGGGACTGCTGCCGAAGCATGGGGAACCGAAGTATGTATCGCGTAAGATTGATACGACCCTTGAGTTTGTGTGTTGGTGGCATGAGTAGGTTTCCAAGAAGTATCTTGACTTTTCAACACCTCATTCTCAGCTCTCAAGGCCGAAAGCTCCCTTGCATCTCTCTCTCTTTGCTGCTTCATCAACTCCATTTCTTGCTTCAACAATCGCACCGTTTCAGAAAGATCGGTTTCATCAACGACTTCAACATGCTCTTCATTGGGACGATCCTGAGTGTTTGTTCTCCGAGTTACCGACATTGTTCTTCTTAGTTAAACTTCCAATTAGCTTCGTTCGGCCCCGCGGTGGGCGCCAAATATACCTGTATAAGGATACACCAATGATCTTCTTGTATTCTGAAGGCCGAACGAGTGTTCTGAACGAGTATTCCGATCCAACGTGAGTAGACGGGTTTGTACCTGTAAAAGGCACTCCGATGCTCAAGTCAGCACAAGCACGGAAATCTAGAGTAATTAATGAACAGTGACGTTACCTTTTGACCTAAGATATTTATATTGACAATCGTGGGCCCTGGACCTTATGGGCCCTGTAACATACTTACCGTATTAGGTAATACTTCTTAACCAGCTAATTAACCCTTAATCATTTATTAAAGATAATTAATAAAGATAAGCCGATCCAGGTGACCGATTGGCAATCGGCCACTTGGTTCGGCCATTCGGCGGCCGATAAGAGGGTGGCTGAACGTCCCTACCCGTACAAGTTTAAGATTTTTCAGCTACCTAATAGTGAGAGAGAGATTTTGATTTTTAGAGGCTTGGAAATTCACGTGGAAAAACATAGATGCCATCTAACTAAACATGTTAGAAATGAAAAACTTGAAGAAATTAAACCCTTTTTTTTCCATACTTCTTATAATGCCTATATGTTTATCAGTGACTGTAGAATGAATTTATATTTATCATTACCGTCTAAAAAATTTGTTAGAATCATTTGTTCTAATTCAAATTTAACCCTGTAAATTACGGACAAAAACGGTTCAAACTAATTAATTATCATATTATATAATCTTGACATTGTATGATTAAAGTAAAATAAAATAAATATAAAGTTAAGTTAAAATATATTTTACAATATATTTAAAAATAAATATAATTATTGTAAATATAATAAAATATTATATAAAATGCTATCAATTAAATTTTTATTTTATTTTAAAATAGCACAAGACATTAAGTCTGACAACTAGAAACAAAATTTGTTCTAAAAATTGTAACATTGTATGTTATAAGTTGATTGTTTAGGGTTTAGTAGAAGTTAGAGGAAAGAGTATATAAGATTTTCTTTGATAATAGAGCCTCATAAACTTATTCTTAAGAAAATTTCAGAAAAGTTTTAGAGAGAAGGACTTTGAGTCTATGAGCTATTTTCTCTTTCAAAATTTTGTGTTTGATTCCTCTTCTCTTCTGCATCACTAATCTCTTCTGTATTTTCTTAGAATTCATGCTAGGAAGCTTGGTTTTGGCAGATCAAAGTCTACAGGTCGATCGTTTGGAATTCTCTTCCTTCTTCCTTTTTCTTGCCTGGTTTTGAGCCAATCTCAAGTTAGGGGGAGCTAGAATGTGGTTAGATTGGTTGCATGTGAGTTTAGAAACTCAATTGATGCATGATTTGTAGATGAATTTGTTGAATCAAGGTGTTTAGCATTTTTGGGGTCTACCGGTTATTTTCTTTGAATTTTGGTGATTTTGAGACATCGGGTGGGTGCATGTTAATTTCAAGGTTGTGTTTGGATTCTCTATAATCTGTTTGTTGTTTTGCGTGGATTGCATGCGGTTGGTTCTCCTAGATTTGCAGATTTTTGTAAAATTTCCAAAGTTGGAGTGCCACCATATGAATTTACGTTAAGAGTGCCTTCATGGCAGCGATCGTGCATTCATCAAGGACATCCCTTTTCATGTCCATGCCGAGCGTAAGGTTAGTCATGTCGAGCGTGAATTGAAATTGGAGCCTTTAGATGAATGGCATTGGGTGCAAAAGGGGTGGCGTCGAGCGCAATATCAAACAGTGGCTTAAATGGATTTTTTTTATATTGGCGCCAGACACATGGCTGGTTGTGTCAGGCATGAATGCTCTAGAGAAGTCTCTAATTTTGTGATGCTAGGCACGCAAAGTGAGTTGCGTCAGGCGTGATTTCTTAGGGAAGTCTCTACTAGACTTACAATAGGCATGGTACCTTAATGTCAGGC